AGAGAGAGAGAGAGAGAGAGAGAGAGAGAGAGAGAGAGAGAGAGAGAGAGAGAGAGAGAGAGACTTGGTCAGTGTAGTGGGGAAGGAGGGGTGGTGCATTTTGGGAGGAGGGCAGGCACAGTTGGGGAGGGGGACCTCTCCAGAGAGAGAGAGCAGGAGACCTGCTTAACATGAGAAGACTACTTTCCATAATCTCTCAGGCAAACAGCTCCGGGCAGACAACGACTGCCAAGCAGATTGGATGCAATTCCAGCATTACGGCTCACATGACGGCTCTCATGACAAGACTACTTCTGCGCTCTCAATGTGTCCAAAGGAGTACCTTTCCATGGCCACAACATCTTTCGAAGTATGCGGTGGCAACCTTACGGCTCGAAGAGCAGACGCTTAAAGTTATGCACGCCCAGCATTGCGGCTCTCATGACAAGACTACTTCCGACAAATCCCCGGGGCAAACAGGAACTGCCAAGCAGATTGAACGCTGATTACTTCATTCATTTGTTATGTGTTCGATTGATTCACAACTCAAAACCGCATTCAAATGTTCGCATACACATCTGCAATGACAGGCAGACTGGAGAGAGCAGATTCACACTGTAGCCATGGAGAGAGATTGCACAGGGGAAGCCAAAACCCTATATAAAAATTGAGAGAAAAAAATGTTTCAATCAATTATTTATTACACCCCCTGCTCTCCTCCTGTCAACCGAACAAGTCCAACAATCTCGACCACAAAATCTGTTCCACCTCCAATTAACCCCCGACAATACACTTCAACGAAGCTTCACCGAAACTTCTTCTCCCTACTACCCCCAGCCTCCAATGATAGCCCACTGTTGAAAACAGCATCTCATCATGCCCCGAGCCTGTGAGTGTAGGCGCTGATCTGGCATGAGCCAGAGATCAAGTTGCAGCGCTGCAAACCAGCGTGAAGAAGAAGGTGAACCTCGATGAAGAAGATGATGGCTGCCCTGGCATGGGAGTAACCAGCAACAAGCCGTTTGATGAACAGCGGCGTCCTTTGACCCCCACAAACAGCAGCGTGATGGCAGTGGCATCAGCACCCGGAAGACGTACTACAGGTGCTGCCTCCTCAGGCAGCAGTGCGCCCCAGCTATGGCTGCCCAAGTTCCCCCTTCGAAGAGGAGGAATACTGAGCGCTAGAAATAGTGCAGCTCACGAACTCCCGTCGCCACTTCCAGGAAAAAAAGGAGAAAAGAGCCCGAAACTTGTCGGCCTCTTCCTACTTGTACCCAACTTCCCTATATCTATGACACAACAGTCACCTACCAATCTATCTGATTGTCGAAACAGCGAACATCTACGGCCAAACAGTCAAGATCTGCGTACATGCATCTGGATGGAAATCTAGAGTACGGGGACGCAAGACTAGGACACACAAAAGAGAGACCTACGGGCCTACCAGTTTCCAGAAGAGCAGAAAAGGACAAAACAGCAAGATCTGAAGGGTCTAAGACTGCCAAATAGAGACTGCCAGCGACAGGTTCACGGCTCAAGCCCAGCAGGACTCAAAGCTAGTAATCAACACATACAAATTGTAGGTCACGGGATCAAGTCCCAAAGGGCTCAGAATAGGGAAACAGCAGACAAACTTAGTGTACAGCCCGAGTGAGCGACTGCAATTCATTGCACATTCAACAGCGGCACTCTTATAATTGAAGGGGACTTCCAACAATTCCCCTTGGCCAATTCTCAATCACACCGTCTCCGCCCACCTTCTGCCAATTGTCAATCACAACATCTCGGCCCACCAAACTGAGTCTCACACACACACACACTTGCATGCAATTGCACCCTCGCACGCTCGAAAGAGTTAAAACTCAGCAATTTTTTTTTAATTTTTTTATTGTTTTTTTATAATTCAGAACCTCTGGGTTCTGGCTCCTTCCATTCTGGGG